TTCTGGCCCTGAGCAGTGACTTCCAAATGTCTCCAATGTTTGCCAGGTTACCTCATGGTATACTCCAGATGACAATAACCCCCAGTAGAAACTGAAATTTTCACCATTTTGTGTTTGTGAGGAATAAACAACAAGATATGACGTGTTTTATAGATGTTGGTATGTGGAATTTTTACCCTGTTGAGTCATTACTTTTAAGTTTTTGTTTGAAGTATGAATGAAGAACGAGTTAATGGAGGGCAAAGGCAGCAGTAACATGACAGGCACACACCCAGACAGATAGGAGGGATTAAGAGGACAGAGAAAGGAGGCTCACAGAACAGCTCATACTCTCCGGTATTGCTTAATGATTTCTTCTGTGTGTATGGAGTTTTTTTAAACTTGTAGAAACAACGGAGAGCCAGTCTAACATTTCCAGTCGTAGGGCTGTGATGAGTCAACACAGCCGACAGCAGACAGTAATCCCTTCCCAGAGAATACACAAAGAGAGACGTGACCTCGCACATCCCCATGACTCCAAATCTAAGCACACAAAACATTGCATAAGAGCATGACACTGGGGAATCTCAAAGACGAAAAAATTCCAAGAACTTCCAGCTATACTATCAGTCCTCCATCCATCCTCTCTGCCATACTTCTGTCTCCCTCTCCGGAATCTATCAGCAGTTGTTTAATCTTAGTTGTCATTCTTATTTCTCTTTTGTCTCTCCCACAGGATGGACAGGACATTTTGACTTTGAGGAGACGAGGGATGACACTCAGCGCAATGTGTGCATCCATGATAAGAAAAAAAGAGACACAAAACGAGCTCCTCTATTTGTCTTCCCCTGACCAATAAGGAGGCGTATTTCTACGTGAGGACTGTCAACAAACAATGACGCCCTGTTTCCTGGGATTGATCCAAATAGGGCGTTATGTGGCAACAGATAACATAGAATATGATCTTAGGAAATCAATTTTACTTTTTAAAGGTGACAATGACTACACAGTTAATTTAATTTTAAGCAGATTTAACCGTTTTCTAAACCATAAACTAGACACGTATATCAGGTATTAAAGTTTGGCCTGCATTGTGAAGGAAGAATTTTTTTTTCTGTAGCAATTCTACTGTAAGTGACAAGAAGTTGCATACATCCTGCAAGTTGAAAGAACAAAATAAAGACAGAAAGATGGACCATGAATTAACTGAAGGTAATCCCTGCATTAACAGACATCAATAGGGTATTCAATGCTGTGTTTTGAATTTTGGTGGTGAGATAACACATTTGTTCAAGTGTGATCACAGATTGAGCCTTTAATTTACACTGTTCTTGCTTCTCATGACATCCATCTGTTCACAAGATCAACAGACATGACAAGCAAGCTCTCACTACTCCCCAGGGCTTGAAATACACACATGGTGAAGGCTCAAGGTTGAATTACTGAACGAAAAACGTATGTGTGAATGCAAACACACACCTGATGCACATACTTAAGTCACACACACATACATTGCAAAGGTATTTAAGGTGCCAAGCAAGAAGATCTGCATGCGCATTTCTATAATTACACCCTTATATTAGAAGGTGACATTTCCTTTTTGACAACAGCTTTCTGCATGAGTCAGTGGTGGAACGCCTGTATCACAGCTTGGCGCACTAGTGGCAGCCAGAGGACGTTTTTTCTTTAATTTGACAAGAGTTACCTCTGTATGTGCAATCGTATTGTTAGCCGTTAACACAAAAGAGAGCTGCATTTCAGTGATCTCCTTAATTCTACAATACTTTTGAAAAGTCTTACAACAAATATTACATTGAGTTGGTGGACTGAATAGCAAGATATTGAAGTGACAGAAGCTGAAAAGATTAGCAAGAAAGTATTGTATCTTTTTCATCTCTAGCTTTGCTTGCTAAAAATAACTTATTTTTGAAATGCCCTAATTATTTGGTCAAGGAGCTGCTTGTTATATGTGATTCTTATTTGGTTATGTGGTTAACCAATCTAATTGGGGTTTACATCATAGTCTCTGGATTGACTAGATGCCAGTGGTCACAGTGCTCTGCAACCAGACCATTGTTCCACCTGACTACTAGCCCTCAGGTAGAATAGAACCAGACAAGAACCCCCAACGGATCACAACAACACATGGGTGTTGTTAATTTAAAAGACAAGTGCTGTTGTCCTGTATGGCATACATGCAAGGACGAGAAAGCAATCACTTTCACCCCCACCATTTCATCTTTCTAATTTTAGACCAGAGTTTTGAGACCAAATAAACACAAATGCTTAACACAGACAATGGCTCTTTCTTTGTATCATCAAGCAATGCTGCAGAAGTGCAACTGCTAGTGGTATAAAACAACCCTAAATGCTGAAACCATAGCTCTGCATTGCGTTAGTCTAATCATGTGCAACCAATAGGGTAAAATGAAATAAATGCATAATTTACAAGGGAGTTATATGGTGCTGATCAACTAGGTATCCTAATAATAATGATAATCTGCAATTGTATTAGATGTCCACTTCAGAATATATTTGTTTTAGATAAAAGTATTTAATAGAGAGCTTGAAGTGTACAGCCCTGGCTGTTATTAGTTTTTTTTTTAAATAAGCTTTAAAAAAAGGGATGATTTAAGTTATTTCCCGCGTAATCAAACTAAAAGTAGTGATTAGCCCTAGACGTCAATCTGGGGTTAGCGCCGCGGGCTTTAAAAGGCACCACACAAACATGTTAGACGGAGTATTGTCAGAGAAAGAGAAAGGCAGAATGTGAGGAACTGATAGACTCAAATAACTACTTCAAGTTTATCTTGTAGCCTTTTCAATGCAATTCTCAGACATCCTGCCACATGTCTGGGACAGCAAACACAACGGTTTAGCTGTCTGAGTGGTCTGAACAAAGCAGTCAGAGGTAAAAAAAAAATGACAAACAAGTTCACATAGACATTAAAAGACTACAAAAAAGACTCACCTCCTCCACAGTGAGGGGCATGCATATCCTGTACTCCTTCAGCAACATCTTCCCTCTCCGCGCGTCTCTTGAATGTATTCACAATGTGTCAAACCAGCCCAGTAAACGTTCCCTCCGACGGGATGTGTGTAATATCTGGAGACGTGTCAGCGCATGTGGGGGGATGGTTTGTCCGGGTTAAGAAATGCACCCCGAGTTACGTTTGAGTTCTTTCATCGGAACCAGCGGTCACTCTCTCCGGCAGGGAACGCGAGGGCAGAAATGAGCTCGGTCAGGATCGTCCCCTCCTATCATGCTGATAGTCAAGCTAAGAACAGCACCGGAACACATAGGATCCTGGCCTCCAAAATAAGGGTGTGCAATATGTCACTACGAGAAAATTAAAATACACTGGAGATATCCCTGTTGAATATTCTTTTGATTCTTATATAGTCTAAACATGTATAAGCTGGTAACACTGAACACTCAATTAGGCTAGTTTCTATAGCTTTTAAACAACTGCGTCTACAATCATTAAACTGCATGCCTTGTTTTAGATGTACTTGATGTATTTTAATAATACTTTTATATTCAAACAAAATATGTTTAGCTAATTCTAGCATTATTTCAAGGGCCTCCTTAAAGTTGATAGGAAGCTAAAATGAAGATTGATGAGCTTTATCATGTGCACATGAAATGTCTTTCTTTACTTTGAAAATAAAGTATATCGGCCAAAATCATATAGAAATAAAACAGATAATTAACTTAAAATAATACAGCCGCTGAGGCACTAGTTAGCAGATCTTACGCAGGGCAATGATCCAGGTCCAGACAAGATTCTCCATTTGTGCAGTTTATTCCGATAACAAAGTACAACGAATAGGTTTCCTATATCTCTTTCCTATATCTCTTTCCTTAAGCCTTTCCTATGGCTTTCCTTTTGCTGGCTTGAAAAACCCTGATAAAAAACCGTTTGCCTACTAGTGTTCGGGCTCCCACCTGTCTCCAATATATACAATTACACCAGGTGCTCTAATCACCCAGTGCCCAAAACATGCCTTCAAAATAAAAGCATAGAAACTACTTTAATTTATGAGACTAACTAAGAATACATTTACAATAAACACTATAAAACAGCAAGAAAATAAATGTTAAACTATTAAATAATATAAAGAGATATATAGCTCCAACATTCCGGCCCCTAATTGTGGCCAGTGTAAACACACAATTACTTAAATATATATATAAATGGAGCTATACTCTATCTTTATCCTATCCATACAAATAATCATCTGCATAGTTTTCAGGCAACAGCTTCCTGGAATAGAAATGGAGAGAAAGAAAAATAGTCTAAAGAAACAGAAAGAATAAATGTTCATGATGCTACTGTATGCTGCTGCATCCAGGAGCAGGCGGATCTTCAAACAGGTCTCTCCATGACACTGGTCTTCATTTGGCGCTCACAGAGCTGACCAATCCTTTTCCGTCCGTCCTTCCCTTCATCCAGGGTCCACTTGTATTTGCAATGAAGAACATATCTCCCGTTGGAAATTATTTTCTGAGCCTTTTCCACTCGCTCTGTCATCCAAATCCTCTTCATAAGGAGGCTCCTCTCTGTCTCCATCACTGTTCACACAATCTATCTTGAGGTTGGAAAGCATTTCTTCAACCTGTGTTTCGGTCTGATGTTTATGACTTTGTTGACTCTCTGATGTCTTGGAGCTGGTCTCCTCTTTGTGGTTTCTTCCCTGCTCCTCACTCTGTGTGCTTTTCCCATTGCACTGCTGATGTTTTTTCTTTTGAATCATGATGACTGTGAAGTTTGATGAGCATCTTCTCTTGTTGTTCCACTGCAAGCTGGGAGGTTACTACAACAGGGCAGCTAGAGCTGAATCCATTGTCCTCTCCAGGTCCACCGGCCCCAGTATGAACACTTGTCTCTGACTGTCCAGGTGAAACATGTGCTTTGTTGAAGGATGTGTCCTCATCTTCAATGTGAAGGGCTGACAGTTGCTTCTGGTGACACACACTGCACTTCAAATATCTCCAATAGTCTTTGATTATCTGGCAAGGAAGAGGAGTATGATCACGGGATTGATCCCTTCGAAGATAAAAAAGTGAGTAACTTTGCTTATTTCTTATTGTTTGTGTTGCATTTATCGGTTGTTGTTTCTGTATAACGCCGAAAATAATTAGTCCTAAGAGTTTTTATAATGGATGGCCATTTGCCATAATTGTGTCATAAAGTGAAGTCCTGAGCTCAAGATTCACTATCAATAGAGGCTACTATTTATTTCAGTAAAAAAACGTCAAGCAATACCTTTCATTTATTCCGCTTGCCCTCTTTGGTTGTTTGTTATGAGGTCTAATGTTATTATATTCATTGCATTACAATTCAGTTACTGATTCCATCAACTAGTAATGTTAGCAGAGGGATAAAGTGTGAATCAAATCAAAAGTTGAGACTGTGTTTAGAAAACAGATAGGATGACACTGGAGAAATAAAAGCAATAAAGGAAATAAAATAAATTCAGACATTTATATCTGTATATTTTCCTCCCTTTTATTTTAGGACAGAGGATGAGAGAGGGGATGCACAAGCCACTGTCCCCATCAGTAGGCCTCCTTCAAACCGAGAGGGAAAAGAATGTGGCCAGGAGGGTGCAGCATCCAGAAAAAAGGCCAAACCAATGCCAGCCCCCCTGACAGTGAAAGGGAGAGGAAGAGGGAAAGGGAAAAAAACATCTCTGACCCCAGAAGAGCCAGGAGCTGTTTGGAACGGACCTGAGGTGCCAGATACTGCCCAACAACTACCACACTTTTGCCCGAAAAGAGCCCGTGGAGTCCAAGGATTTGTTGGTGTGGAGTATACTCCTGCACAAATATTTAGAAATTATTTTAACAACCAAGCTGTAAATATCATCTGCAAGAACACAAACAAAAATGCTGAAAAGGAGCAGGCTAAGGGGGAAAAGTTTGTTTGGGAAAGCCGGTAAAATTCCTCATGTATGTCGGCCTTATGATGTTCATGGCACTTCTAAAACTGCTCAAAGTAAGAGACTACTGGAGGAAGGGATCACACCTGAGTGTTCTCTTTCCTGCTTCTATCATGACAAGAGACAGGTTCATGGCAATCAGCAGAGCTGTACATCTGAGCGACCCAGACCATGATGAATCTTGATACATTTCCTTTGCTCTTTATATATTTTTCTAATATTTTGGTTATAGTTTGAAGATCATTTGCTCTTTGTACTTTTGCACTTTCTATATATTCCTAATACTTTGTTTATAGTTTTAATATAATTTGCACTTTGTTAATTTGCACTTTGAATTTGTTTCACTGTTTGTGTTTGTATTTCAATGTTCAAATTATAATATATATCTCTGAAACAAGTTATTTTTGTTGCAATGTCATCTGTTATGGTTTAATTGTTTACTCTCTCAACCTTTTTTTGACAGAAGAAACATGATCAGTCATTTAAATATGGAAATACATTTCGTTTTAATTATTCCATATGATCCTAGGCGTTTTTCAGTGAAAAACGCCTAGGATAATATTGTAATAAATAGCTGTAACTTGCTCAGGGAACATAATATGCAGATGAAATTTAATTTGAAAGCCTAAAACATCTAAATGCAGCTTTGTAAATAATAAAAAAGAAAATCCCTATGTTCCTGGCGGAGTAAACAGTAAAAAAACACAACATTTGTACTGGCGTTTTTGAAAAGTGCTGGTAAATTCAGCCATTATCACACAAAGTTATGGTAAAATTTGGACTTCAAATTAGCCAGACTTGAACTAGAGGTTCTCCTGAATCAAATGAGGTAAGGCACTTGATGCTGACTGCAAGAAAAGGTTAGAACAGGTTAGGAGAAACAAATAAATACAGGAGAGTCAGGCAGGCGAAAATTCCGTCTAGGTCTTTAAGGGTTAATACATAATAATAATAATAATAGATTTAATTTGTTAGCGTTTTTACAGGTGCTCAAAGACGCTTTACAGATATAGTGAAGAACTGTTATGATTCACATATTCATTTATTATTGAATAAACTATATTTTTTGGAGGAGTTAATGACGAATGTTCATCAAGATGCTTGCTCACCCTCCTTCAAATTTGAAAAACAAGTAATTATATCATTATTGATATACAGTTACAACCTTGACTTTACATCAGAAAGAACAAACATTAAAGAAGTGACTAACTGCATCAGTTAGGGTTAACCTCTTAAGCCCTGAGCCTGTTTTTCAGGTTTCAGGCTCGAAAATGCCACTAACACAACAAAGACTATATCTTCACTTCTAAAAGGGGTACATTAATAATCTTTTCTCTCAAAGCAAGGTTACATCTGTGAGTTGGATGTAGAAGTGTCAGAATCAATATAGATGTTTTTATTTTAAAGTAAATTCAGATGGAACACAGTAAAAACATGTAAATTCTAATGTCCGCCTAAAAAAAACTCATTACTTATAGTGAAAACCACCCTTGAATGATGGGCTAGTAGACTAAAAGCTTTAGGAATCCAAACTATAACATATAATAAGTACCCGTATCAAGATTGATGCAAAACAAGTGAAATTTGACCTTTTTAGAGAGGTTTAGAAAAATAAAGTCCAAGCGGACTCACCTCTGGGTAATTTGGGAACCATCAGTTCCATTTGAACTTTTTCACTGTAAAAATAATTGTATTACTTTGAATTATCACTATAGGTATTCATTCCATCCAAATACAACTGTTGTGAAAATAAAAAATAAAAAATAAAATAAAACATAGGCCTACTCTTACAGTGAGCCTCTGAATTAGCCCCGAGCGAAAAATGCTAACCTATTACAGCACCGAAAATCACTCCTAGCTCCCTTATTACTTATCCTAGCTGCACATCCAACACATCGTTTATGACCGTAAAGACACAGAATCTAACGGTGCCCACCTCAACACTGAAAGATACAAATTCGCGACGTTAATAAACAAAAACGTACATCAAAACAAATGGCGCTAGCGCTAATGCGTTAATATCCAATGTGGCTGTGTCCCCTTTGAAATGTTCTGATAATCTATAAGCAATAAAACTGCAATTCCGTTATCTGCTGTCCGCTCTGTGCTCCGTGCGCTCTGGGTCCTGCTGCAATTCCTGCTTCCTTACGTAGTAAACAATAAGTATAGTCTGCTGCGTAATGTACTTAAGCTGGCTGGCATTCTTTATACTTTACGCAGGACCATATCTCTGGAACCCATTGGTCGATTTGGGTGATTTACACCTTTTTCTTAACCATTACATCCAATAGAATCGATGGGCAGTTCCCAAATCCACGTAAACATTACCATTGCGGACGTAATAGAGAAGCAAACGAAACATATCTGAAAGTACAAGCCTGGACGGCAAAACGTTATACCCAGTATATTGCCATAAATATGATGATGGATTATCAGTAAAAATGTCTACGTGACACAAAGACATTGGATTAACCTTGAGCGGCGTTGTTATTCCGTTGAACACAACTTTTGATCACAAATCAAAAAAGGTAAGACGTAATTATTGTAATATTTTTTAAACCGGATGTTGTTTACTTTCTCTTTTCTGGCTGATAGCTCCAGGAATTCGAGGTCTTACAGTGATGACATTACATGTGTGGAATCTGTGGAGTCTCAGCTTTAAATCGTATATCTTGTTTGTGCAGTTAAGATAGTAATAAGGGCATTTCTACCGTGAGTTCTGTGTAAAAAAGCGTTAGCATTAGTTAGCATTTTTTCGCTCAATGCTAATTCAAAGGCTTGGTATTACTCTTGTGTTTTTTTTAGCTGACAATTGTTCTTATTGTCAGTTAGCGGAGTTTCTTACCTTTAAAAGGGTATGAAACATTAATAGTTTCATGAATGACACTTCAGATATAGCACTGTTGCTACATATATATAGCATTTTTGGACACGAGCTCGGGTCCGTGGGGCTTAAGAGGTTTTAAAAAACGTGTATTCAGCTAAAACATCGCTGCAGTTATTGTCCAGTGGAAAGTCCTTACCTACTGGCCTAGTTAAATCAAAGTGGTTACTTTCTATTGGCTGGGCAGTGTAGTTTTACACACCGTCTTATTTTACTTTCTCAGGACTTAAAACTGTTTTTTGGGGGCAGACCCCCTCAAAGAAAAACATATATACACGCATACAAGGTCATCATCTTAACAGTTTGTTATTCTCATCGACTCATCCGTGAGCAGAGCATCAAGTTGGCATGTCTATTACAGCTGAATGCGGCGATTACTATTTTGTTCAGTAAAACGCCTCACAAACTTATTAAGATCAACAGCTGTAGTGCGTTTTGATTCAATGCTGAGTACAGCCAAACTTGACATTCTCTTCTCTGTCATTGTAGACCGCAACTACCTCATTCCTTCAGTGCTTGGGTCCGAAAGGCTTCTCGTTTTGCGCCGTCCCCCCGTTCAAGTGAATTCGCCACCAATCATATTTCCACTCTCGCGCCAGAACCGGGGGAGGGGTTACTGACGTGCATATTGTGCTGCATTCACTTGCACTCGGACATTAGAGATTTTCTCTCATAAATGTCCGATGAGCCACAACTTTTTTTTCAAAACAAAGATGCCAAATGGGGTGGCAGCTGGGTGCAAGGCTATTGTTTAGGGTGGCAGTTGCCACCCCATGCCACCCCGGTAGATCCACCCCTGCCAGCAGGGCAAACAAAACTAGATCCATCCACTTGAACATGTATCCTGTGAGTGATGGTTGTGTTGGAGAGAAAAAGTTGTAGTTTGGGGCAGAAGGAAACTTTATCTTTTCAGATTTCTGTTTGTTACCATTTTCCACAGATCCTTTCGATCCACGCCTCGTGGATTTTCAGTATGTCAAGTTTGGCATTGAGTGCAGTCAGTTTTAGGTCAAAAGCAAGTTTTGTCTTTTCTTTTCTAAACTCCTCCTCTTGGGCTTCCAATGCATGCTTCCTCTTCAATGCAGCCATGCGTTCTTTAAGGACTGCTAAATCAGCTTCAATTTTGATTATTGCAGATGATCTGTATGATAATCTGACTACTTTCTGTGGTCTGGAATTATTGTCCTTTAAACATAACATGTGTGGTGCAATGTCCTTAGGATTTACCTCGTCAGAAGATCCACTTCTGTCCTGTGATGTGGCGTCTTGCATCGTTTTTCTTTGATTGGCGTTATTTAAATATCCAAATATGTTATTTTAATCCACAGGAGAAAACGCTGATGCATGCGCATGCCTGCGCGTCAGAGTGCGTAATCACTGTGTGCACCAAATATTAATCCAGCAGTAGTAGCTATCTATCTATCTTTCTATCGATCTATATATTTTTCTGTCCTTCCATCCATCCATATATCTATCCACTCGTAGGGTCAAGTCATTCTTCAATACGAAAATTATTTTGAAAACGGATTGAACGGATGTGAGTTTGCCTTATGCCAGGTAGCTGCAAATTGGTCTATTCTGTATACCGCCACAAATACGAAAAGCAAAAAGTACATCTTGCTGATAAACAAAATAATGTGCTTTTTCAGAGTGAAGTTCCGTGAGACCGCCACCATGGTACAGTAAAGAAGGTATTGAGTTGGATAATCAACAGACATTCTCTCCCGTCTTCTTCCTCAGTTTCAGTCTGTCAGTCAGAAGAAGGGTAGCGTATATCCAAGTCCTCTCCCTTGGCCACAGGGTTTTACTTAGGGACCATCAATAAATTACTCTTAAAAACACACAAAACCAATGTTATTTTCAATACACCTGTGCAAACTTGCATGAAGGGAAAATGTGGCTACAAAGTATGCTACCACTTCCATGTCATGTGACAAGTGATTCAAAACATATACCAAATAATATTATTAAACTGGACACATTCAGTAAGACACAACTCTTTAATTGGAGTTTAGTATTTCTTCTGTCTTATTTGAATATTATTGAGAACATTTGAAAAAAAGTCTTGAATCTATTAACCCTCCTATTGTCTTGGTTTCCCCCCCCCCCCCTGGTATTCGTGGTCAAATTTGACAGGTCCTGTTTTAACTGCTATTACATTAACACAAAAGCCATTAATCATCACCACATTTCATTTAACACCCTTTCAAACTGTAAATATTGTATCAGACTGGTATACATGAACAACTGCAGTAAATATACAAAGAATAGACACTGAACATGTATTGCGTGTGCCAGGTGTGATCCATGTGTCACACCTGCATGTGTCAAAGTGTGTGTGTGTGTGTGTGTGTGTGTGTGTGTGTGTGTGTGTGTGTGTGTGTGTGTGTGTGTGTGTGTGTGTGTGTGTGTGTGTGTGTGTGTGTGTGTGATAGGTGTGATTCACATGGGGGGATTGGGCACATAAGGGGGGGGACACATCTAGAGTATGTGTGTGTGGGTGGGAGTGTGTG